GATTTTCTGAAGAAGGGCCTAGGCCCGAAACGTCAGCCTTCCTGCTCCTCTGATGCTGCTTGGCCTGCTGTGTTCATCCAGCTGTACACCTTGTTATCTCAGATAGATACAGCAGCTGAATCCATAACGGAACATGAGAAGCTCGCTGTGCACTGGCCACTTTACTTTCATGCTATCAAAGTCCTGAGCTGTGGCTGTCCATGGTTTACCAACCAATCACAGGCAGGATTTGAAGTTTGGGTTCCTCACAGTCCTAGCAATGTCACAGTGGGCTTAACTTACAGCTGTCATCAACCATCAAACTGGGGGAAAATTCTGTTCTGTGTGCCACAGAAAAACAAGCAAAATATTTTCATTAGTTTCGGAATCACAGAACTCACTCACTTAGAGCCAACAGCGACAGGCACCCCCTCAGCCCTTACAGCCCTATCCCCATTCCACTGCATCACCAATTCCTCCTCACTCTCCTGTCACTCCTCACCCTCCCTCATTCTCAGTGGCCCATCACTGTCTAACCCCCACATCCTCCTATTCACCTCCCAATTTCCTCTTCCCTACCTCCCCTCAGATCTCAAACTTTCAGGGCCACTGAGAGAGGAAAATTTTGAAAATGTTCTGATTTCCCACAAAGCATCACATTTAACATTCTTGAATTCAAATTTCTTCACATTTAGCCTCCACAATTCTGTAAAGTTGTTCATCTCTATAATCCACCCATTTTTCTCACTCCAATCATTGATATTAAGTAGGAGGAGGTGTTGGGTGTCTTGGAAAACATTAAGGTAGATTAGTCCCCAGGGCCTGATGGAATCTATCCCAGGATACTGACGGAGGCAAGGGAAGAGATTTCTGGGGCCTTGACAGAAATCTTTGTATCATCTTTAGCCACAGGGGAGGAAGACCAGAGACTAGCCATGTTGTTCCTTTGTTTAAGAAGGGCTACAGGATATTTTCTGACTGGAGGCCTGTGACCAGTGGTGTTTTGCAAGGATCAGTCCTGGGACCTCTGTTTGTAATATATACATATAAATGACTTGGATGAAATGAGAGTGGTGTGATTAGTAAGCTTGCAGACAACTAGAAAATTTGTGGTGTTGTGGATAGTGAGGAATGCTGTCAAAGGATACAGCAGGATAGAGATTTGTTGGAAAGTTGGGTGGAGAAATGGCAGATGGAGTTTAATCCAGGTAAGTGTGAGGTGATACAGTTTGGGAGGTCAAATGCAACAGGAAAGTATACAGTAAATGGCAGGACCTTTGGGAGCATTGATATACAGAGGGATTTTGGGGTGTAAGTCCATAGCTCCCTGAAAGTGGCAACACAAGTGGATAAGGTACTAAAGAAGGCATACGGCATACTTGCCTTCATCAGTCATGGCACTGCGTATAAAGTTTGGTAAGTCACATTGCAGCTGTATAAGTCTTTAGTTCGGCCACATTTGGAGAATTGTGAGCAGTTTTGGTCACCACACTATTGGAAGATTTTGGAGAAGGTGCAGAAGAGGTTTACCAGGATTTTGCTTGGATTACAGTATATTAGCTAGAAGGAGAGCTTGGACAAACATTGAATTGCTTTCACCAGAACATCAGAGGCTGAGCTCAAACCCACATTCCTGCCTATCCCTGATAACGTTTCACCTTTTTTGCTTAACATGAATCTATCTATCGCTGCCTTAAAGTATTTAAGTGTTCTGTTTCCATCACCTTTTCAAGAAGATAGTTCCAAAGACTCAACCTTCTAAAGGAAAGAAAAATTCTCATCTCTGTTTCAAATGGGTGACCCCCGATATTTAAACAGTGACCTTTAGTTTGAGATTCTCCAATAAAAGGAAACATCCTCTCCATATCTACCCTGTCAAGGCTCCATAGGATCTTTTATGTTTCAATCACATTGTCTCTTACTCTTGTAACCTCCAGCAGATACAGGCCCAACCTGTTCAACCTTTCCTCCATAAGACAACCCACTCATGTCAGATATTAGTCTGGTAAACCTTCCCTGAACCATTTGCAACAACACTGACATCCTTCCAAATATCAGGTGATCAATGCAGTACACAGGACTCCAGACATGACCTCACCATTGTCCTGTATAACTGAAGCATAACCTTCCTACTTTATATTTAATTCCCCTCACAACAAATGATAACATTCTGTTTGCTTTCCTAGTTATTTGTCAGACCTGCATACTAACCTTGTGTGATTTCTGCACTCGGACACCAAGATCCCACTGCAATCTCTCACTGTTTAGATAATATGCTTCTTTTTCTTCCTTCCCAAATGGACAGTTTCACATTTTCCCATGTTATACTCCATTTGCCAGGTTTTTTTCTCCACTCCTATAATGTATCCATATCTTTCTGCCAACCTCCTTATGTCCTCATCACAACTGAGTTACCCGCCTATCGTTTTGTCTAGACTGAAAGGAATTCAAGGACATGGGAGAATATCAGGAACAGATGATTGGAGCTGGATGATCAGCCACGATCCCATTGAATGGTAGAACAGACTGAAAGGCCCGAATGGCCCAGTCCTGCTCCTATTTTTATGTTTCTATGTGTCATCAGCAAATTTGACAAACAAAATCCTTCGTCTCGACATCCAAGTTATTTATAAAAACTGAGAATATCTAAGGTTCCAGCTCATCACTTATTTTGTTTGCCAACCTGAAAAATACCTATTTATTCCTACTCCCTGCTTCTTATGAAGCAGAGAATTTTCTCTCCCTACCCCCAAAATCACGAACTTTCATTTTCCACAATAATCTTTGACGTGCACCTTATCAAATGCCTCTCAGATATCTAAGCACAGTACAAACTAATGTTCTCAGAATAAAAGAGGAAGAGACAGTTTTGAACCTTTGTCCAATTATCTTTCCACACTGTGATCCCGAATGAACACGGTTCTTGTTTTTCAGATCCAAATCAGCACAGAAAGATGCAAACCACA